GGCCTAGGCCCGAAATGTCAGCCTTCCTGCTCCTCTGATGCTGCTTGGCCTGCTGTGTTCATCCAGCTCTATACCTTGTTATCTCAGATTCTCCAGCATCTGCAGTTCCTGCTATATCTGATTCACTAATGTCCTTTAGGGAAGGAAATGTCTGACCTACATGTGACACCAGACCCACAACAGAGTGGTTGCTCATAATCCTCTAGCAACCAGGGATGGGCAATAAATGCTGATCTAACCAGTGATACCCACATCCTTGTGAACATGTTTAAAACAAAAACACAAGAGGAAATATTAACATTGCACGCAGGGAGATTAGAAACAAGAGTGGAGTCTAAAAAGTTAAAACAAAAATAGGATCAGTCTCTGAATTATTTGTGAAAGCAGATACAAAGACGATGTGGTCATCATTAGATAAAACTAGGAGTGTTGACATTAGCAGTTGAACTGTTGATCTCGAGATACTTGGTTCTGTAAGTTAATTGAAATTCTTTTTGAACTGGCTCGCAGCACTGAGAGAGTCTTTCCCTTTTGTTTTGTTTGCAGTGCAGGGGTGTTTAAAATATCTTCTCAAAGCTATGGTACTCACAACAGTCTAGTCCACACACTAGGGTGTCCTGGCAATAAAGCACACAGAGTAGTGTTACAGCCAGTTAGTGACTCCTTTCTTTGTGTATATCCCTGGAGGGTAAAACAGACATGTCTGCAAGAGATCATTTTCTTCTGACAGGGGAATAGTCATATCCTTTGTTATCGCTTCTTGTTAAGTCCTTCTTCGTTTTGAAGTTTCCCTGACTCTTAACGGGTATAACATTCCATACTTTTCATACTGGACTTTGCTTGACAGTCACTCGATTTGCATCTGCAGTTTTTCTTGACCTGTAACAGTTCTTTGTTTTAAAAAAAACACAAATTTTGCAGTTAGAAGTAAAGCATGTTGCTGAATACTTTGGGGTTGTCGTAATGCAGGAATTTGCAAGAAAGAGTGCTTTATTCTATTAGAATGGGCTGGGTTAAAGGCTAGAGTTAAAAGTTCAGGGTTTGACCAGGTCGTGCCTTTGAGTTGTCATCACTTATGGCTGCCAGCTTTTTGTTTTTGTGTTTGAAATGTGTCTCTGATTAGTTACAGTGTGGCAGTAAAACCAAGTTGCCAGATTGGGTATTCAACTGCATGCGCAAAGACAGTAATATCGAAGTAAGTCATCATCATAATACCTTTGCCTGCCATTGAGCTACACTTTCTAAATGTTCTGATTGCTGCCCTGCCCAGTTTTAATTTTCTGCTTTTGTTTTTCTTTCAGTTTTACCAGAAATGCTCAGTTATTCTTAAGTTTAAATGATATATGGTGGATCCAGAAAAACCCTGCGATCAATGAATTGCCTTACGGAGTTAAAGGGAGCGGTGAGGCACCTTTCCATTGCTCTATTAAGTGTATTTTCTTCATTTCAAAATAAATGGAGTGAGAGAAAGAGGGATTGATGGAAATCCCTTTGAACGTTGAGACCAGGAGCTGGAGGTCTTTTTCCAAACTACCAACGCTTCAAGTAGACTAATCCCTCTTTGTCTCTTTCACTTTTGCAGAATTACCATTGCCTCTTGAGGCAGTGTGGGGGTCAGCGAAGGACCTTCTGCCCTTCTAGACCGTACCAACCCCGTGATTGTGTGCAATGAGTCAGTGGGCCTCCCCCATCTCTCCTTGGCCATTCCCCTGCCCATCCAAAGAATGCTTGGCTGTAGCTTGGAGGCATCGAATAAGTGTTTGAGGGTTTAATACCCGCGCTGTTGCTGGCTATGCCAGACATAGAATGTGACGACCTGCTCCCAGGCTTGAGAAGCACTAACTGAAGTATCCTTCACTGCTTTATGATTCGTTGCATGCTTACCTTTTAATTTTTGTTGTGTTTTTTCAAACGTTCTTTTATTTAATCAGCAACTTTGAGATAATGCAGCGACAAGATGTTGCGGGGAATCCATATTCCTTCTGTGAGGTGTCCAGTTATTTTTAGAGAGAGGGTGAAATTATGTCATAGTGCCCCTGGGCTGCATTGTGCTGCCTTGAGCCCAGGATCTGGCACTGTCTTAGAACATAGAACAGTACAGCACGGTACAGGCCCTTCGGCCCACGATGTTGTGCTGACCTATTATCCTACTCTAAGATCAAACTGATCTGTAAACCCTTCATTTTACTATCATCCGTGTGCCTATCCAAGAGTCGCTTGAATGTTCCTGATGTATCTGACTCTACTACCACCGCTGGCAGTGCATTCCACACACCCACCACTCTCTGTGTAATTTGTTTGAAATTTGTTAATAGCTTAGACCATGATCTTGACTGTCTCCCTTATGCTGGAGTAGACAGTATTTATTATTATCTTTGTAAATTACTAGCCTGTCGAAAAACTAATACCTAATCAGACAGCCCTACTGCACCGTGTAGAGTGTGGTTTCTAATCTGGCTGGTGTTGGCCATGGCCACCATACTCACTGGTTTGGAATCTGTGCAACTACAAAGAAACTCTTCTCAGTAGAATGTCTCATTCTCCCTATGCCATCCCGCACCATTTTATCTGGTAAGCTAAGGCCAGTCATGATCAGTCAAACAGTCAATCCAGTTTATTGGTAATCCTCTCTATTGTCGTGAAATCTTACAGCAGGAGGCCATTTGGTCCATCATGCTTCGCTTGGCTCTTTGGAAGAGCTTTCCAGTTAGTCCCATTACCCAGTTCTGTTCTCGCAGCCTTGAGAAAGACTTCCCTTCCCCTTGGGAAGTGTCGTTGGATCAACTTCCACCGGCTCTTCACACAGTTCAGCTGACAGTATCTGCAAATCTCGGGGTTGGCCTGAAGGGTAGGAAGGCACAGTAAGTGGGGAGGTAGGTGCTTCTTGATGTCTTCCCAATGTCTTTCCACTGCGTACCGTCCTGCTGGTGGCAGGAATGCTGGTTTATAGGCCATGTGCTGGGAGGTCAATTAAATTGCTTCAGCACCCAAGTTAGGGCACCTCTGAGTGGGCATCCTGTCTGAACTGGGCACTGTGTGGGCCCATTGTCCACACGCCAGGTGAAATCTTTGTGGGCCCTGGGTGGCGGGAGTGGCAGATGAAGAGGACCAATGGCAGATGGAAGGGGTCACACAGGGACGGAGAAAGTCAGCAGCTGATGGAGAGGACTGGGCAGCGAGCTGGCGGTGGGTCAGGTGCAGTGAAGTAGCAGCAGCTGGAGGGACCCGCTGAACTGACCCTTCCAGGGAGGGGCTGCTTCAATCGGTCTGTCTGTGATTTCCACCTCAGCTTCCCCCCTCTCACACTCACATCCCATGTTAGCCGTGTGTAGGGGTTGGCTCCTTTTGTATTGCAAATTTTCTCTTGTGTCTATTACAGCCAAGTTGTTAAACACCTAGTCTCAAAACCTTGAAGGGAACAATTGGAGTTTATGTGGGGAAAAGGATTAAAGATGTGGATTGAAAAGAGAGTGACAGTATGGGGCCATCACTGATGGGCCGAAAGGCTTGTGCACCTGTTTTGCTACCTTACAAACTGAGCTGAGGGGATTGGGCAGATTCAGGGGATACCGAACTTCTGGTTTAACATTCTTTTTACAAAATGGTTTAAAAGTGATATTGGTGCAAGGGAAAAGGGTGAACAAATTCCTCCAGATGGTTGTCATTGTGAACCTTTCACTTTCCTTCCAGAACAACCCATCAACAAGATATTGGCCAGAATACAGTATGATATGCCTGAAAGTATAAGCAGGTAAGCACTTCTTCATAATGGACGGGGATTTGTTGTATCTGACTGTTTGTATACTTCATGAAGCAAGACCGAAGGAAACCATTCCCTCCATTAACTCTGTACTATCTCTTTCAGAAAGCAATTCAAGGAATCACAGTTCTTTTTAATATAAAAGAAATGACCTAGTCAGACATGATGACACACCTCTGGGATAGGTGGGATCTTGAATCTCTGGCTTCTGGCCCACAGGCAGGGACATAACCACTGTCCCCCAATGTCTTCACTCTCTCAGACTTTGTATCTCTGTGATATCTTTCCTCGTTCATCAATTTGCCAAATTCATAGGCTTCTGTGAAGCCACTTTATTGATCACTGTGTTCTATTTATTCTTCACAGTTCGATGCTTTCATTCAAGTCTCCTTTTTTTTAAATTAATTACCTTAAATATGAACTTTCTGATCCTTAACTCTTTAGTTGTTGGAAACAGTTTCTCTTTATTTTGACTATTGAAAGTCTTTGTGGTCCTTAACGCCTCTTCAAAATCTCCCTTAGTCTTTTCTGGTCCAAGTAAAACAACCTTTATCTTCTCCAGTGACCCCACATAACTGCAGTCCCCTCGTGCTTGGCATCCATCATGTCCAGTGTCTCCTGTACCAAGGGCTTCATGTTAACAAAGATCACTTTCAGCAGGAGCTGACCCCATACTCAGCTCTGACTGGCAAGATGCTGACAATCCAAATCCGAGCAGTAGGAGACACGGGAGATCTCAGAACGTGGTGTAAATGCCGTCTGCAGCAAATAGATTTTAATGGAGTTGGAGTCAGATAATGCTTCTTGTCTGTTTTATCGTTGTCGCTGGAGATGGCTGAAATTTATTTAAACCATTGCATTATTAAAGGAAGAAGTTGATAAACTGAAGCAGAGGGTCAGAACGGAAAGAGCAGGATTTTGTGATTAGGTTTCATTTGCACTAGCACAGACACGATGGACGGAATTGCTGTCTTTGTTCAATCAACTTGCATAAGGGTTTTAGTTGTTTAGATGTTGATGGGCTCATGCTCATCGAAGGTCTCTTGTCTTTTGCCAGATTGATTTGTAAGAGGTGTGTTATCGTCGGCAATGGGTACACCCTGAAGAACAGCTCACTTGGAGAAACCATCAATGAATACGATGTTGTTATTCGGTGAGTGATTTGCAGTGGCTGTGATTATTGTTTGCTTCTATACTGTACGGTTCCTGTGATACGATTCTATTCTGGGGGTAATTAGACACTATTTGACACCAGTGCACATAGAGTTATTACAACTTGAAGGTAGGATTCAAGGAGTGTTTAAAATCATTGCAGAACTTGTGTATTTCTGAAAAAAGAACACATCTTGCAAAAGCTTCTCATTTTGCATTCATCGGTTAATGATTATTGACAATTAATTCATGCATTCTCTATAGCAACACCTCTACCAATCAAAGTCTGGCTTGCTAACCAATCAGCATTCTCCTCTAAAGCTGTAGAAATGTTGGTTTCCCCTTCAGCTGGTATTCTTGTAAATAATCCTGTTGAGTGCAAGGTGATGTGCTTCAAGAAAAGGTGCCTCTTCTCAGCAATGTTCAAGTGCTTAAAGGATGGGAGAGAGGAATTCCAGAGCTTAGGGCCAGAGGTATTCAAGACCGATTAAATAAATCTGACTAATGTTTGTTTCAGATCCAGATGGATGCACAGGGTAAAGAGTTGTAGGGCTGGGGAAGAGATTGGGAGATGTGAGGAAATTGAGGTATTGAAACAGAAGGATATAATTTTAACTTGGGGCGAGGAGTTACAGGGTTAGGGCCGGAGCGGGGTAGAAATTGCTGCATTGGAAACTAAAAGTAGGTGAGCGAATGCCAACAGGGGTGGCACTGTGGCTCAGTGGTTAGCACTGCTGCCTCACAGCGCCAGGGACCCGGGTTCGATTCCACCCTCGGGCGACTGTTAGTGTGGGGTTTGCACATTCTCCCCATGTCTGCAGGGGTTTCCTCCGGGTGCTCCGGTTTCCTTCCACAGTCCAAAGATGTGCAGGTTAGGTGGATTGGCCATGCTAAATTGCCCTTAGGGATGTGTAGACTAGGTGGGTTATAGGGGTACGGGTCTGGCTGGGATGCTCTGAGGTTTGGTGTGGACTTGTTGGGCCGAAGGGCCTGTTTCCACATTGTAGGGATTCTGTTCTATAAAATTAGAACAATGCTTGTGCAGTCATGTTCAGCAGCTCACTTGGATGAAGAATAATATGTGTACTGCATCAATTTAGCCACCAATTCACAGCATGGCACACTGGCACCACCGACATACCAACATGTGTAGGTGTCTGCCACTAGGGAGCCTTGCGTTAGATCCCCAAAAGCAGGATTAAACAGTAAGGGGACACAATAAGCAAGTTAGAATCATAGAATCCCTACAGTGCAGAAACAGGCCCTTCAGCCCAACAAGTCCATACTGGCCCTCAGACCATCCCACCCAGGCACATTCCCTTATAACCACCTGATCTACGTATCCCTGGACACTACAGGCAATTTAGCATGGCCAATCCACCTAACCCGCACATCTTTGGACTGTGGCAGGAAACTGGAGCACCCAGAGGAAACTCACACAGACATGGGGAGAATGTGCAAACTCCACACAGACAGTCGCCCGAGGATGGAATCGAACCCAGGTCCCTGGCGCTGTGGGGCAGCAGTGCTAACCACTGAGCCATTGTGCCGCCCCAAACATCTCAAATCTCAAATAACGTAGAAAGACAGAATGAGAGGAGGCTTAACGTCAGCCTACAGGAGGGGAGGGTGTTACTCTTGCTGAGTTACAGTTGAGTATCAGTAACTGGTTCGCCCCTGGACACTCTGGCACAGAAACGGACTTTCTGGGAGTTGTGGTGGGAGATGATGAGTGAATGTGAAAGGTGAGCTTTGGGAAGAAACCTTACCATGTGTATGCTTCTGATAACAGAAGGTAGTATGGTGTTTGGATGGGTAGATGTAGACTCATATAAATTGTTCTCTTGTTCATTGCCACAGAATAAATGATGCTCCAGTGCGAGGCTACGAGAAGGATGTTGGCAGCAAGACCACTCTGCGGTTCTTTTATCCCGAGTCAGCAGCCAAGGATCCGAATATCGAAAACAATCCGAGCACACTGCTTGTGTTTTTACCCTTTAAGCAGGTGGATGCCCAGTGGCTGATGGAGATTGTGTACGATGAGAAAAGAGTTGAGTATGGTCTATTGTTAGAGCTGATCGGGACTGTTGGTGTTGACAGTGTGGGATTTCCACTGAGCTCAGTGAGGACCACAGGAAGCCCATGCAAACTTAAACCAACGACAGAGGATTTTTGCTCAATGTCTTGTGTCATTTGTATGGTTTGTGATTAATTGCCCTTCTCAAAACAACATAAATGCACCAGATAGATTTTTATTACCAGGTTACCTAACAACTTAATCTGGATTTTTATTGGATTCAGGCTTCACTATCTGGCATGGTGGCTTTTGAACACGTGTCCAGGGCCTATGACAGAGTCTTAGTCCAGTGACTATGCCACTCCATCCCACATGCTACATTTCTTGGCTTTTAACACCCAAGATTGGAAACTATGATTCTCAAAAAGCTGAAGAAGAAAAATCCACTGACTCTTTAGACTAGGGCATCAATGGCTTTATGGAACACCTATCATGTCTGCCTGAGACTGTTTGAACACAGCAGGCCAGGCAACATCAGAGGGGCAGGAAAGCTGACGTTTCGGGTCTAGACCCTTCTTCAGAAATGGGGGAGGGGAAGGGGGCTCTGAAATAAATAGGGAGAGAGGGGGAGGTGGAGGTGGATAGAAGATGGATAGAGGAGAAACAGGTGGAGAGGAGACAGACAAGTCAAAGTGGCAGGGATGGAGCCAGTAAAGGTGAGTGTAGGTGGGGAGTTAGCGAGGAGATAGGTCAGTCCAGGGAGGATGGACAGGTCAAGGGGGGGGGATGAGGTTAGTAGGTAGGAGATGGGGGTGGGG